GAAAGAGACAGGAGAAATGGAAGAAACTAAGATAAGAAATCATGAATGAGAGAAAGTGAATGTAGGCTTTATGACAGGGAGAGACCAGGCATTATGCTGGACATAAAGATCAAGAAAAAGTACTGCAACTTTTCACCATATGTGATTTTCAAAACAGCTTATAAAATCTATAAAACAGCACAGCATATTAGAAAAATAAAAGCAAAGAGCAACAAAACAATTAAAACAAGTGCAAATTAATAACTGCAACAGTTGAAGCAGACAGATGCCACAGCCTTAAAATACAAATTAGCAACATCTAAAATTATTGATAATCTAAGTAGCCCACCAGTGATAACTCCTAATCTTAGTCATGCAGCACTGACTTCAAACTAAAAAAAATACAAGAAATATGTCGGGCAGGTATACCTGAAAATTTTACTTGATGGGCGAGTTCATCTGATGGAACGATGGTCTTTTAGCTGTGCTGCTCTCTGATCATGCAGGGCTTTAGAGGTAAAAACCAGGACTTTGCATTATGCCTGGAAAAAAACCTACGAGGTAATGTGGATGAAATATGTTTACTATGGAAGACAACGGTTAACAACTTGGTAGGCATGTGCCAAGTTCTTCTTCCTCTCCATAATGTTTATAGATTTATCCGTGTGTTTCCGTCAGCCTCTGATGTGGCATGAATACTGTGAAAGGGTATGTCTGACTCAGTATAATGTAAATGGGAAATTCCAACACTGGACTTCATCATTCCTATTGCTTTAATTATGAAATGATAACTTTGTTGCATTTCTTTGTAGCTCTTCCATGCATTGTTGGAGAATGGACTCAATGGAGTGGCTGTGCAGGACAGTGTAAACCTAACTTACGAATGCGAACACGCGTCATACGGCAGGAACCAAAAAATGGTGGTGATCCTTGTCCTCCATTAGAAGAAAAGGCTGGCTGTTTGGAGTATACTACGTATCAAGGGCAAGATTGTGCGGATGAGCACGGTACATGTAGATACTATTTTTCTTTCAACACTTCATTATCCTATGTGTAATTTTGAAGTAGGAGCTTGTCATGGAGAATCCATACACCAGGGTCAGGTATAGAGTAGGGGGATGTCTGTACTAACCTGGGTCAGATGCCAAATCTGCACAAAAACAGAAAAATAAAAAAAATAAAAATGTTAATTACATACAAAAGCCCCTGCGATCTTGTGACGCTGTAGTGGGAGATCTTGGCTACCGTTTTGAAGGGAAAAAGTGAAGAACAGCCACTTCCCAAGCCGGAAAGTTAGTGCTAGTAGTTCCAGGGTCAGAGAGAAGAAGCAGCCCTTTCTAGATGGGTGGAAGGGCAGGAAAAGTGGGAGCCCCCACCTGTGCCACTGCATGAACTATGGAGGCAGCATGGCAGGTGGGTTGTGGACAGGAAAAGTGGAAACCAGCACTGCCACTTCCCTGTACTGTTGTGCAAGCCGCTTAGGGGGAGGTGGTGCTGCAGATGGGAGAAGTAGGAGCTGCAGCTCCCTGTGACTGTAGTGAGGTTGGTGATGCTGGTGCTGTGGAGTGGGGGAGGAGTGAAAGCCAGTGCCTCTCAGAGCCAAATAAGTGAAGATGCTGCTGGTGGGTGTACTGACTGGTGAGTGGGAATCCCAAAAAGTGAGGGGGTAGAAAGCTGGTATTCTCCCCCCCTCATGTGTCTTGTGGAACTCCTGCTTGATGATACTACCCAGTGGGACCACAGCTAGTTATCCTTATTAGGTAACTAGTTGTAGTCCCACTGGGTAATAGCATCAGTTTATTTGATTCTGATTGGGGCCCCATCACTGGATACCTAAATCCAGAGACTGGAGATACGGGCAGGCAAGACAGATCTTTCTAAAAACAGAGAAAACCCCCAGGTTTGCAAAAAAAAAATCTGGAAAAATACATTGGGGGTTTAACTGCCCCCCAATAATAGAAGCAGCACCTGCAGCTTTAAGAAACAAATGCTCTCAGCAGCCATTGTCTTCTCAAAGAACTCTAAAAGGTTGGTGAGACAGAAGCCATGCTGATTTTCCTGCAGCTGGTTTTGTTCCTCAATGTGTCTAATAATTCTATCTTTGATTACAGTTTCTGCTACCTGTTTTCCCGAAAGTAAGACATCCCCTGAAAATAAGACCTACGTACAGTTTTGCCTCTTGCTGAAATATAAGACATCCCTCCAAAATAAGACCTCCCCGATAATAAGGCCTCCCCCGAACATAAGGCCTCCCAGATAATAAGGCCCCCCGAAGCTACCGTAACTCTGGACTCTGGGCCGTAGCGGCGGGCGCCACCGCTGCCGCCAGGACAAGCTGCCACCTGCTGTACCGTATTCTTCTTCATGGAAAAATACGACATCCCCTGAAAATAAGACCTAGCGCATCTTTGGGAGCAAAAATTAATATAAGACACTGTCTTATTTTCGGGGAAACACGGTAATTTGCCTGGGACAGAGGCTAACTGGCCTGTAATTTTCTGGTTTGCCTCTGGATCCTTTAAAAAAAAAATCATTGTAACATTTGCTACTCTCCAGTCTTCTAGGACAACAGCTGAATTTAGTAATAAAGAAGTTAGTAGATGAACAATCACATTTGAGTTCCCTAAGAACTCTCTGGTGTATACCATCAGGACCTGGTTATTTACTGTTTTTTTAATTTCCCCACTAGGTCTAGAACTTCATCTCTCATCACCTCAATTTGACACAGTTCTTCAGACTCCCTTCCTGAAAATAGTGGCTGTGAAATACTTTCCACAGTGAACAAAGAAGCAAAATATTAATTGAGCTTTTCTCCTTCCCCCATCTTCCTTTAGCAATCCCTTTATTTGTTGGTCATTTAAGAGGAGGAGGAGGAGATTAGATTTATACCCCACCCTTCACTACCCAAAGGAGTCTCAGAGTGGCTTACAAACTCCTTTTCCTTCCCCTCCCCACAGCAGACACCCTGTGAGGTAGGTGGGGCTGAGAGAGCTCTGACAGAAACTGCTCTTTTTCAAGAACAGCTGTGCCAGAACTATGGCTTGCCCAAGGTCATGCAGCAGGTGCAAGTGGAGGAGTGGGGAATCAAACCCAGTTCAACCAGATTAGAGTCTGTGGACTTAACCACTACACCAAACTGGCTCTCTGGCTGATCTCCTGCTTCGGACATATTTTCAAAGAAATGTTTATTGTTTGTCTTGATGCTGTTAGCAACCTTCTCAAATTCTTTTTGCATGCCTAATTATTGGCTTACATTTCTTTTGTCAGAGTCGGTGATCCCTTTTGTTCAATTCATTGGGGCAGACCTTTCACTTTTAAAAAGAAGAGTGTTACTTTTTATAGCTTCCTTGATCTGCATTGTTTATTACGCAGGCCTTCTTTTAGACTTGGCAGTGCATTTCTTAACCTGGGGAATGCATTCTGTCCAGGCTTAAATTAGTGTGATTTTAAATAGCTTCCAGGCATCCTCTAGGGATTTGACTCTTCTTGTGTTTTCCTTTCAGCTTCCTTTTAACTATTCTCATTTTTGCAAAGTTCCATCTTTTGAAATCAAATGCTACAGTTTTGGACGTTAGGGGCAATTTTCCATTGACACGAATGCTGAACTTAATAGCAGCGTGGTCACTGTTCCCAACTGGGGCAACAGTTGCTCACCAGATTTTGAGCCCCACTCAGGAACAAGTCCAAGATCACTATCCCCTCCTTGTTGGCTCTGTGACCATCTGTTCCAGTGCACAGTCATTTATGATATCTAGGAATCTCATTTCTACAGCATAACTCAAGCACGTTTACACAGTCAGTGTGAGGGTAGTTGATGTCTCCCAGTATCATAATATTATCTGCTTTAGTCACCTCCCATATTTCCTTCTTCATCTCAAGATCAGCCTCAAGGATTTGATCAGGTGGGCGATAGTACAAGCACGTTTACACAGTCAGTGTGAGGGTAGTTGATGTCTCCCAGTATCATAATATTATCTGCTTTAGTCACCTCCCATATTTCCTTCTTCATCTCAAGATCAGCCTCAAGAATTTGATCAGGTGGGCGATAGTACACCTCCACTTTTAAGTGATCCTTAGTGCCCAGTATTTCCACCCATATAACTTCTGTTGGGGAGTTCAGTTTGGTGTAGTGGTTAGGACCCAGTTTGGTGTAGTGGTTAGGAGTGTGGACTGTAATCTGGGAGAACCGGTTGATTCCCCACTCCTCCACATGCAGCTGCTGGTGTGACCTTGGGTCAGTTACAAGTTCTTTCAGAGCTGTTCTTGAAAGAGTAGTTCTCAAAAGAGCTCTCTCAGCCCCACCTACCTCACAGGGTTTCTGTTGTGGGGAGCGGAAGGGAAAGGAGATTGTAAACTGCTCTGAGACTCCTTCGGGTAGTGAAGGGTGGGGTATAAATCCATCCTCTTTCTCCTCCTCCTCCTCCCCTCCCCCTCCTTTGATTCTATGCCCGGGCCTATTTGGTGTACAATGCAACAGCTTCCCCAGTCCATCCTTCCCTGTCCTACCTGTAGAGGTTATACGCAGGGATGACTGTATCCCATAGATTTCCCCCATTTCGCCATGTTTCTGAGATACCCGGAGTATCTAAATTGTCACTTAGCACTAAGCATCCCAGCTTCCCCATCTTGGTTCCACTTGCACAAGCGCCAGGCCTGGTCTGGGGAAATGTCTGCTGATATCTTCCTCTTCTATGGCAGTCAGCTGGAAGGCTCACAACACTATTTTCAAGGGTCCACTAACCCCTAGGATTAGCAGAGTAGGCTGTAGCAGGATCCAGGTAGCACATAAAAACCATGCTATCAATGTCATCTGTTTTTATCATCATGCAACTAGTTTTCATAATAGAAAACTTTTCTTTCTTAGTTCCTGCTTTCATAACAACTTCTGAATATAGTAGAGAGAGGAAAAAACGAGCTGTACACCCAAGGTGGTCTTCAGAAACAGAAGATTCCAGGTAAGTAGATTTAACTTCTAATACGTTTGGGGATAGTTCAGGGGAAAGAGATTCTTTTGTATGTGACTACAGAAAACCTCAAATGGAACAATGGGCTAAGTAGCTCACACATTCATTGGCTTGTTCTCTATTTGATTTTGGGTCTCATTACCTCACTTATGTTCTGAATTAGACAGATACTAAGGTCATGGAAATTTTTCATGGAGTTACATTTTTTATCAACAAAGCAAGGTTGCAGTTGGGAGAATCATGGAGAATTTTTATTCAAATAACAGTGACCATACTTGTCTTGGTAAACATGTGGTCAAATATTCCACACAACATTCCACAACAATACCTACAACATAGATGGAAAACCATGAGAGAAAGTATTCAGTAGATTTGATTTTATTAGGCTATTGGGTGTTAGGTTTGGTGTTTTTAATTATGTAGCGTATCCTGCCTTGAGCCAAGGGGAAAGGTAGGATACAAACAAAGGTTTATAGAACTCTTACTTCACATTATTAAAATTACTTTGACTTTATCTTAGCTTTGCAGGCTTACCAACTATGAGTTACTAAAAAGTTAGGTTTTCCACAAAACTCATTTTGCAGTGAACAGAACTCAGCAGCTCTACCATTTTTGCTAAGAACAGACTACCATGATGACCAAAGCAGTAAGGAATTCAGAATACTCAAATATTGCCTGGGTGGTAGGGAGTTCACACCAATGTTGTGAACCTTCTGTAAAGTATTTCATATTTGGTGCATGACATATTTCATGGATGTTTCCTAAAACCCAGCATTCCTTCTTAGTATGTACCATACCTTATGGTGGTCAGAACAATTTTATTTATTTCAATTATGACCCACGTTTCTCCCTAAAAGCAGCTTACATTGATCTCTTCTGTTTTATCCTTATAACAACCCTTTGGAAATAGGTTAGACTGAGTGTGTGTGATCATGTCCCTAGATAGAATACCTTTTACTCTTCTAATGCAGCAGCAGAAGAGTAGGCTTCTATACCCTGCTTTTCTCTACCTTAAGGAGACTCACTTTCCCTTCCTTTCCCCACAACAGGTAGGTGGGGCTGAGAGAGTTCTGAGAGAACTGGGACTGGCCCAAGGTCAGCGAGTGGGCTTCACATGGAAGAGTGGGAAATCAAACCCAGCTCTCCAGATTGGAGTCTGCCGCTCTTAACCACTACACCATGCCGGCTCTCAAGGCTCTTAAGCAATTTCAAAGGCTCTTAAACTGCTTCTCCATGTGGTTGATTTAGAAAAACTTTTAAGATACTGTTAAGAGATACAAACGTCTTCTGTGTCTGATTTCATTCCCAGATCATTTTGCCATTTCTGAACTTCATTCAGCTACAGATGATAATATTTGTACTTCGCTTACTCAGTTAAACCAAACAGTGGTTTATACGTAAATCTGAGGTGGCCTCTCATCTTACATACGTCACTATATTGTGCATAATTTCTTACAGTATAGTCTAACATTATGCTATAATCATATCTATATATCTAATTCCCATGGGGGGTTGTGTGGATACTTATTTCTGCCAACAGAGGGCTCACTCTCCTCCAACAGCTTTTCCTACATAGTCAGTAGACTTCCTGTGTCTGCAGAAAAATCCAAAAAGTAAAAAAATCCCTTCAGGGAGGGTTGAATCCCCCCCAATACCTTTTGAAATGGCCTCTGCAGGGATCTAACTCTGGGCATCAACGGTGAGAGATTAGGACGTTTGGGGCGGAGGGGGGGAGGCTTCTAAGGCTCTGTCAGTAAAAGGGTGGGGGGGAGGGCCCTTTCCTGACCTCTTTTGGGAGCCTTGGGACCAGGCCTGACAAGGGTTGCCAGTGCCAGCCTGGGGAATCCCTAGAGGTGTTGAGGTGGACTGTAAGGAGGAGGGCTGGGTTTGGGGAAGGGAGAGGCCTCAGCTGGGTCTAATGCCACAGAGTCCACCCTCCAAAGCAGCCATTTTCTCCCAGGAGACAAATCTCTGCTGTCTTGAGTTCCGTTGTAATTTGGGGTGTGTGTGTGTGTCCTCCAGGCGCCACTTAGAGGTTGGCAACCCTAGGCCTGGCAGCAGTTTAGGGTCACCAGGTCCCACCCCCCCGGCCACTGGCAGGGGATGGGAGGTAAGGTTGCCAGATCCAGGCTGGGAAACTCCTGGAGATTTGGGGGTGGACCCTAGGGAGGACAGGGACCTCAGTGAGGTACAATGCCACAGAGTCCACCCTCCAAAGCATCCGTTTTCTCCATGGGAAGTTATCTCTGTAGTCTGGAGATCAGCAGTAATTCCAGGCATCCCCAGGAGGCTGACATCTCTAGGCAGATCCAGGCTGGCAACTCTAGGCACCTGGAGGCTGGCATCTCTAGGCAGCACCCTTTGGGTGACTTGATACCACCTGATTTGCATGATTCAACTAGGCCCAGCTGCTTGCTACTGTTCATCAGCAGCCACCCTATGAAAGCCAGTGTGATGTAACAGTTAGAGCTTCAGATTAGGGTCTGCAAGACCCAGGTTCAGATCCCCATCTTGCGGTGGAAGTTGACTGGGTGATTTTGAGCCAGTAACATACTTTCAGCCTAGCCAACCTCACAGGGTTGTTGTGCAGATAAAAAGTAGAGAATAATGTAAGCTGCTTTGGTCCCCACTGGTGAAAGACTGTAATTTTCCTAGGTAGAGGCTGTGGGGGAGGGGTGTGGAGATGGTAAGCTGAAGACAGAGAGGCATATAAAGGTAGGTTGGCTGTTGGGTGGGAATGAAATTGTGTTGCCAACTCCAGTTTGGGAAATTCCTGGACAATTGAGGAGTGGAGCCTGGGGAGGGTGGGATTTGAGGAAGGAACTACAGACCAGTATAATGCCATAGACTCCACCCTCCAAACCATACAGGAAAGAGAGAAAGAAGGGGGGGGCAGCAGGGAGAAAGAGGGTGAGAGGTAGGGGGAGACAGGAGGAAGCAAAGGTGTGAGGAATAGGATAACTATCCTGCAAGTTTCTTGCAGGCCTCTATGCGCAGGGAACGCTCTGGGAAATCGGGGGCCGGAAGCGGCTGGAAGCTGCTGAGTCGTCGCTGCGGGGGAGGAGATAGATGGGCCGG